GGCCTTGTTTGGATGGAATTTTAGAAAGGGGGTGTCATTGTCCAAAAAATTGGTAAGTTTCACCTGTGTGTCCTTTTTGGCAAACCTCAGAAGGTGTTAATGTACTTTACCACATTATTTAAATAGAGTTAATAGCGTAAGTTAATTCCGTGAAAAATAAATAAATAAAAATAAAAATCCCAAAAAGTGACGTAAAAATTGTAAGGTGGGGCTGGATTATTTATTAGATGGGCTAAATCACGTGGCATAACAAAAATGATTATTGGGCCTATTCATGGAGGACTATTATCTTTGTGCTGTCTATGAAATGGTTGGGTTTATTCTGGACCTATTGGATTGGCCCTGTCAAGTTAATAAATAATAATGGTACACAAAAAAGCCTAAGAGACTAAAAATTATGGTGTGTTTGGTTAGAAGGAAGGATTAAGGGGATGGATGAACTAATTTGTGTTTAGTTCGAGAGAAGGAAAGAGGAAATAAGGAGGGGTGAAGCTCAACCCGCCCTGCTATGTATTTTTCTATTAGTTCAAAATTGAGAGAAGGAAGAGAAATATAGATAATAACTAATAAATATATAATTTCTAATTTTAGCCTTTCTAAAAATTTGTTTCTTAAACTAACGTACTATATATTGGAAATTGTATTTCTTTGTGAATAGAGAGGTAATCAGTGTTTTTTCCCCCTTATTTTAAATATTGACTTATAAAAAATAAAATTAAAAAGTCATCAATCATTCATTGTCAATCACTCTTCTTTCTTTTTCTTTTTCTTTTTCTTTTCTTTTTTTTCCTTTTTTTTCCCCATTTTTTTGAGTCAAAATGTAAGAAGAAGGCTTCACTTATATCATAAGTAAGTGGACTTATAAATTATATCACTTGAGCATGACTAAAAAATCATCTGCACAACTCATTGGGTCAAATATCTCAATTGTTACATAATTTGAAATGGGTATCTGATTTTATAATTTTAAATAATGAGGATATTTTGATTATATATATGTATATATATAAGTATTTTTTTCTTCTTTTTAACCAAATAATAATAAATAAATAAAAACAACGCTTGTATAAGTAAAAATGTTCTTCTGATGCTGACATAGATCAATAAAAATATGACATGTGTCAAAAAAAATTTAAAATAATTAATAAAAAGTGTTTGAAACTTTTTGCAGATCATCCAAAAGGAAAGATTTTTTTTTCCTCATGTGTGAGATTTTCTATTCCAAAAGCTTCATATTGCAATCCGTTACAAAATAACCTAAACAATTAACCCAAATATGGTAAATTAACCACAATTGTAAGACTCCAATTATCAATTGAGTTTAAGAAAATCAATTTGGTTTCAGATTACGACAACTGAATATATATCCCTGTGTCATCTCCTTTTTGTTACCTTTTCATTGGTCCACATCATCTGTAATACTCCTAGTATTAAAAGGATAGTCTATGTATTTTTATTAATTGTTTTGAATGGTATTCTTGATTCTTTAATTGATTTTCTTGACTATTTGTTAATTGTTTATATGATTTAATTAATTATGTGTTGGGTTTTTTTGTAATAAATAGTTAGGAATTTAAATGTTTTAAATGGTTGCTTATTTTATTTTATTTTCTTTTATTTTAATTCATTTTATTTTATGGTTATGAATAGTCGTCATGGGCCAACCAATTGAATTACATGGACTACTTGGATAAGAAGTTTAATGGGTATGAATAATTACCCATGGATAGTGGATATGTATATATATATAATTAAATAATATATATTTAGGAAAAGTCCTTTGGAGATAATCTAGTGTATTTATTTTGTTTGGATAAGAATAATATACATAGATTATATGTAATTTATATTTTTTAGTTCCCTTTTTAGTTTTTTAATTTTAATTTTTCTTTATAAGTGGAATGTGGATTGGGAAAAGGAATAGGGTTTATATGTAGCCTATATATATGTCTCTATAAGGTTGGAAAATGAGTTAGAAAATATATCACGTATATTATTTTAAGAGAGAGAGAAATAAGGAGGAAAGAGGAAGAAAAAGAAGGAGGATAGGGTTTTATCAAATTCTAAAGGCAAGTTCTCTGTTCTACACTTCTCCTTAGATTTGTAACCTATATGTCTCTAATATAATTTTAGGGATGTTTAAAAGATTAATTAAAATTGGAATCCATGTGTTTAATTGATCTAGAACTAGGTTTTATAAATCTTATTTGTTTATGGTTGTTCTAACGTAAACTGTTAAATTCATGATTTGATTTGATTATTTTGTGAATTTGTTGCATGCTTCATATAATGTTTTTTTTTAATCTTTATATAGATGGAACGTAGAAACATGCCTAGGATTCCTGAAACAAAAAAAGATTTAATGCACAGTTGAAATTCTGGGTTGATTCGCGTAATAGTGTTTGGACCGTTGTTACAGTGCTCGAGCATTAGGGGTAAAGCTCGAGCAATTGGTTGTGAAGCTCGAGCAACTGGCTGTAAAGCTCGAGCATTTAGGATGTAAAGCTCGAGCCTGAGAGGGAAAGCTCAAGCAATTGGGATAAAAAGCTCGAGCCTGAAGTATGATGCTCAAGCCTTGGACAGGGTGCTCGAGCAATTGAGTCAGAAGATCGAGCCTTACCTGGTGAAGTCTCGGAAACAGCGTTGTTTTATTGTTAGATTGGATTTGTAGAGTCCTAATTATCAAATAAGGACTATGAATGATTTAAATAAATTTTAAACAAAGTATGGAGAATGCTTAAGTGATTGTATAGCAAAATATAACAATATGTTTAAGATTCAATATGTGTAGGAAATGTGACATAGGAAACTTAAATAAATTATAAGTTGTCCTATTTTGTGTTAGCATGATATAATATTTTTATTATGTTTAACTTTGGATTATTGATGTACTCTTGAAATTATTACATCAATTGTTAGATTGTGTGGATTAAGTGCACCAGTATGGGATGGTGGCATTCTAGGGATGGATTAACTTATCAGTTAAGTCCTACCTATTATATAAGGGAATGGATTAACTAAAATGTTGAGTTCTACTTATATTTGTGCCAGGTCAACTAAACAAGTTGAATGATTAACTGGATTATTGTATACTTATACTTATGTTGTGTCAAGGCAATGAACAGTTGAGCAGCACTACTTTGGTTTGGATGGAGTTTAAATATATAGTTATGATACCTCGAGATGAGCTTGAGTCTCAGGATCGATATTTAGGGAGCGTATATGCATTGGGATGCATAACTGGCTATGATGGTTGGAGGTGTACCTTGTTAGGTTTAGGTACACATGCCCACTTCGGGTGTGTTTTGCATGTTGCCTCTATTCAGGTTGAGACCGGTCTGTAGTCCAGTGAGAGTCTTTTAGTGTGGACATATATATATTTATGGAGTATATAGTTATTGCAGGGTTAGCTATAGATGTATAGTTTTCTAGTCTCTGTTTGGGTTTTCGTAGAAAGAATTTGTACGTGGGCTTGACCCACTTTTATATTTTTTTCAGGTGCTCGTCAGTTCCAGACCTAGAGTTGGTTCGTGCTGAGTAGAGACAGTCCACATAATTTTTTCCGGTTCCATGTAGGACTCTATCTATGTTTTAGTTTTTGATTAGGGTTGTTTTCAGATTGATTCAGTTGAATGATCATTAGAGGTCCATTAGATGGATTCCCGAGTTATAATGATATAAGGTTTTGGATAATTCATTTGGAGATTTTATTATTTAGTTTTCTTTTCTGTTATTTATTTATTCTTAGTTCTTTCTTTTGTATTCTGTGTTCATTTACATACTTAATTATTTGGTATCCATCGGATCTGTGCTCAGACTTGATCACCCGTGGCTCTAGAATCAAAGGGTGTCACATCATCGCTGAGATGATTGCCAAGTTTTTTCTCTTTTAAATTGCTTCCGCGTTTGGGATCCGTTTTCGGGTTACTCGCTGACTTACCGGGTCCTTTAAAATTCGGGCCATCACAAGTGGTATCAGAGCTTGAGGTTTGAAAACCTTAGGACGACGAGTTTTGGGGATGATGATAAATCTCAAAATTTTAAATGTCACTAGAGTTATGTGTATTTATTAATTGGCGACTTGAATCATCTCTAAAGACTGAATGTAAATGATTATGGTTTGGGAATGGAAGAAGTGACAAGCAGTGGAAGGGGTGAAGATCAGTTGGCGGAAAAGAGGATTAATATTAGGGTTTCAGAATTGAAGAGATGGTGGGCATCAATGGGGATTTGATGGGAAGAGAGAAGAAGTTGTTACTTAAAGAGGGGGGAGCCCGCTACCAGGTTTCACACACGCGTGAGAGAAAATTCTCTTTCTTTTTGAATGACCCGTGAAAAGATCCGAATAATTCAGGTTTAGTTTTTTAATTTTTTTTTGACACATGTCATTTTGTTATTGATCCATATCAACATCAGAAGGAGAGACCTGCTTATGCGGCCTAAGACATTACTTCTGTATTTTGAATCTAAAATCAAACATTTTTATGGAGAAAAAAGAGATTGGGATAAGAAAAGAAAAGAAAAGAAAAAAAAAGGAAGATGAACATGAAAAGTTTTAAAATTTATATATAAGCGAAAAAAAAAAAAAAAAAAAACTAACTTCTATATCAATGAAAAAACCTAGAAAAAAAAAAAAAAAAAATCACTATTGGTATTATGAAAATTAATTCATGATATATATCATTTTTTATGAATTTATAGTGATTATTTGTCCCAACTCTCATACGTGACTGAAAGATGCCGATCTAATATATATAGATATATATATTTATATATTTTCTCCATGACAATGTTTGATTTTAGATTCAAAACACAAAAAATATATATTGCTGCCTGAGAGAGAAAAGGTAAGGGTCAGTTTTTATTACTTGTAGTCTATCATTTTTTTTTTCTTTTAAAACTTAAACACCTATTGATTTTTTATTGAGCCACCTTATCATAAGAAGATTATTTCTTATGCGGCCAAAGGCAAGCATTAGAATATGGTATCATATCCATTTTTTTTACTATCCATCTATTCATTCCTCTCCCCCTCCCATCCATATATTTTTCCATCCTTCCAGCCAAGCTGGTCATTAAATCACTTGAATCCAAAAACAGAGTGTTCTGATGTCCTAAACCGGTGCAAGTAATCCGTAACCGGTTTTCCAAACAGATCCGGATTTTGTTGAGTTCCTATTCCTAACAGGGTCAACAAAACACACTGTTTGTGTCGATTCGAAAGGTGCCAAAGCATTCAACTGTTTCTCTGTTTCGGCAATTACAAAGCTCCCAACTGTCACGAACAACCAAACAGACCCACTTCGATTTCATCGAAACCTACATTCATTTCGTGTTATGCATATATATATATATGCATAACCCTCTTCCAATCCTTAGTTTTTTTTTTCCACAAAGCTCGTCGATAATCGCGAGGAGAGCCGATTCTCACTTCGGCTATCCGGCATCACTGAGGTGAGCTTCAGATTTCCCTATATACATTTACGGGTGTGTACGTGTGTATATATTTAATTTTTAAAAGATCAACTTACAATTTAATTTATTGTGAAATGCGGTTCTTATTTGGTACTTTAATCATAGATCGTGTATATTGTGAAATGTGGTTCTAATCTGTACTTCGTTTGTCATGCTGTTCACATTTCAAAATAATAGAGAGAAAAGGGTGTAAGTTTCATTTACATGTTAGTGAAATTTATTTATTTTCCAATGGATTACTTTATAGTATATTACTATACTGAAACTATATCTATATGTTCATTCTAGGTGATTAGATAAATAAGATATAATTTTAGGGTTTTGCAGTGGAAATAAAGTATGTGTCTTGCTGGTCTGCTATAGGTGAATCTTTTAAGCACTTGTACTCGCAATTTGCGCGGCCAAATCTGCGGGCCTTAGAAGACTGGAGTCCTGATCCAAATCAGGTGCTGCAATTTTTTAGATGAATTCTTTAAATCTTTGATATATCTTTAGATGAATTTTAAAAATCTTTGATATATCTTTAGATGAATTAATATTATATTATTTACACAGTTCGTCGCAAGCCCGGATAAAGGAGGGTTGTGTCAGGTAGCTTGACAGCTGATATAAAACTTTGTTATGAGCAATACCAACATGAATCCTATGAATACACAAATTAATATTATATTATTTGTTCCATTTAATTTGATAACTGTTTAGATGGATTTATCTACTATTCTTATTATACTTTTACCTAACAATTTGAATTCATGTTAAGGAGACTAGGGCCCGATTAGCAGATTTTCCTTGTTGGTTGTCAAGGAAAGTCCTAGTCTAGCCAATACTGTTGCACAAAATTTGGTCCAATGTGCATCTATATCTAATATTTCTCAGGATGCATCACATTCGCTTCCATTCCTGATTATCAGAGAGGTTCCCGCCATTGTAAACCCCCTCCTTCTAGAGTGAAACACTTGCTTAGCTAAAAATGGAAATGGAAAAAGAAAAAGAAAAAGAAAATGCATTTTAATGTTTCATTTCAGGATTGGTTTACATTCTGGAAAAACTTAGAGGGGAAGTGGAGGAAATTTTCTGTAATTGTTGGTCTGCAAATTCTATTTGATATATTATGTAAATCATGGATGTTCGAAAGTGCCTGTCATCAGGCTTGAAAATGCATTTTCACACTTGATAGCCAGAGTTTTAACCATGCACCAAGTTGTGATCCATTTAAAATGATTAATATCATTGTGGTTTGTTTTACTATGATTTAATGTGTTGATTATTTTGGTCTTCTCAATTTCTTTTTCTTTTTCTTCTTTTCTTTATCTTTATTTTTAAAATTCTTCAGCTGAATTGTTTAAATTTTGAGTACTTTTTGCCCTCTAATTATTTGTTTTTTCATCTCTTGTGTAGATTTTTGCTTACTAATTTGGAGTATTAACATACCGGAAATGGCGGCCACTGCTACTCCTGGCATGCACATGGAAACAATTAAACCATGCATTTCTTTGAGTGGCAGAGTTTCTAAGTTGCGCAATGAAATTTTCAGTAGCAAAGTTAAAGTGTCATCTCGGACGAGGCTCTCAAGTTCTGCTCACATCTCATTAAAAGAAGCGTTGGTCCAAAATTGCACACACACTTCCACAAAGCGTGAAAGATTTGTTATGAAAGCAATGTCTGAAGCAAGCGAGGACAAACCACTCCCCGGATTACCAATTGATCTAAGAGGTCTGATATCTCTACATTTTGTTTGATTCCTTTTAAATTTTTCTTTATATTATAACACCTTTCTTTCTGTAAGGTCTTAGGTTGTGTAGTTGTGGTAGTTTTGATCCCTTTTTGGTTGTAGCCCCTTGACAACTATCTTGTCCTTCATTAGTTGTTTCTTTTGGGTGCTTTAAAGTTACTGTATTAAAGGCTGCTCTTGCAGTTGTGATTAAGGTTTATATCCAGGAGCTTACTGTTTCAGTTTGGTTGGTGCTACAGGTGATTATGTTTCTCCTATTTTTGACTTTTGCGATTCATCTAAACCAATACACATTAATCGAGCATTATATTAGGAGCTTACTGTTTCAGTTTGGTTGGTGCTATAGGTGATTATGTTTCTCCTGTTTTTGACTTTTACGATTCATCTAAACCGATACAAATTAATCGAGCATTATATTAGGAGGTATATTTATATATAGCAAGTGGCACTAAGCATCAATGTGAACAAAATGTCTGGTACTCGATCAAAGTAGCAAATAAATGAGAAGTTGAAAAACAGCTCACCGGTATCAGTAGTGGAATTATATGTGAACTGAAAATCCAGGTTGTTTAGATGTCAAGTTTTTAATGTCTAACTGTAGTTCTCACCTAGGAAAAGAAAAGAAAAATAAACTAACAAAAAGAAAAGAAGGGAAGAAAATGGCCCTTGTAAAACTAATGCTGGTAGCAGCGAAAAAGATATGTGTGGAAAAAGTGGCAACATCATTCCACTCTCTGGCCAAAGAGCACGAGGAGGGAAAAAAGAATGGCTTGCCAAGCATACGCGCTTGGCAGGAAGGTTTTTGCCATCAAGCCAGATGGCTATTGATTGAAAATTTGGTAAATGTAAATAAGGTGCTATATATGTGTACTTCTACAAAAGAAACAGATCATGAACATAATTAGGATATATGGCAAGGAATATTGAAGAAGTTACACAACCTCATTATAAGTAAGACATTTCAAATCCATTTAAAATATCTTCCAGTTGTACTGTTAATGCTTAACTTCCGTCTTTAATGATAAGAACTCTTGACAATTATGGACTTCATTAAGGGCATTATTGCAGGTAAGAGGGCATTTATTGCTGGTGTTGCTGATGATAATGGATATGGATGGGCAATAGCAAAATCTCTTGCTGCTGCTGGTGCTGAGATTCTCGTTGGCACATGGGTTCCTGTATGTAAATTGATCTAATTATATTAGTACTGTTGTAATTGGAAAAGTCGCTAGCTTTGGAAAAATTATACTCTGTTCCTAACCAGTTTTTCTTCACAGGCACTAAACATTTTTGAGACCAGCCTACGACGTGGGAAATTTGACGAATCACGCGTGTAAGAGTGGCAGTTTTGGTGTTGATCTATGTGCTCAAATGCTAATGGAGTCGTGGTTGATGTTTGCAAACTGTCTGTCTTAATGGGAATTTGATGTTTCAGGTTGCCTGATGGTTCTTTGATGGAGATTACAAAAGTTTATCCACTAGATGCAGTTTATGACTGTCCTGAGGATGTTCCTGAAGATGTAATTGGAATGCTGATTTGCATAGTTCTGGAATAGACTATGTAGAAGTCAAATATATCCTTAATAAAATATATTTTTGTTGTTTTGCTGCAGGTAAAGTCAAACAAACGCTATTCAGGGTCCTCAAATTGGACTGTTAAGGTATCCATTTTCTTTATCTCCATCCTTGTGCTTCAGACTGCAGAGTCAAATTGATTACTACCATTTAATCAATTGTTCCATTTACGAAATAAATAAATTCAAAAAAATTATCTTTGAGTTTAATCAATCATTCGATTTACAAAATAAATAAATTCATAAAGAATCATAGATCAAACTTCACTAGCGTATCATCTCGATTCTCGAAGTAACGAGTTGTGGTTCACCATGCATTGTGATACTCTGCTTGCTCGGGAATCACTGCGTGGTCATATGATGTTCAAGAAAGTATTGGATCACTGCATGGTCATATGATGTTCAAGACAGTAGGTAGACCTAGAATAAGCAACTTAGAATTACAAAATATCAAAATAACAAAATTTTGAATTTATGATGTTTGGTTAACTGGTTAAGGAACTGGGCAACTATTTATCTGTTGTAATCTCTTTGCAGGAAGTTGTTGAATCTGTGAAACGGGACTTTGGCAGCATTGACATTCTTGTGCACTCACTCGCCAATGGACCAGAGGTGAATTGTTCTTTGTTTTAGTGTGCTCTTTGCCCTTTTTTTTGTCTTTTTGTGTGTGTTTGTGTGTGTGTGTGTGTGTGTGTGTGTTAGGGGTGGGATGCTGTTGTTTCATTATCTTCATGATACTAGGTACTATGAACCTTGTGCAGGTTAGCAAACCTCTGTTGGAGACATCAAGGTATGGATATCTCACAGCCATCTCTGCATCGAGTTATTCCTTTGTTTCTTTACTCAAGCATTTCGTTCCAATAATTAATCCGGGTAAATTTCTCTTCCTTCCAATCTGATATTTAATCCTTCTTTTTTTTGCTATTTGATTAAATAAGAAAACCGGATTATGCACCAGTCAGCAATTATGTCGCCAAGAAATTTGAGGTTGAGTTTAAATTACAGGTGGTGCTTCAATTTCTCTGACGTACATTGCTTCTGAAAGGATCATCCCAGGGTACATCTGACATTGCCTTGTTTATTCAACCTCTCATGATTCCATCTTATCTACAAATACTTTTTATTGGTTAATTCTCTTTTACATGTAGATATGGCGGAGGCATGAGTTCTGCAAAGGCTGCTCTTGAGAGCGACACAAAAGTGAGTTTTTCTTCTCCATTTTGTTCTTAATAACTGAATTAGACTCTTTCATCTTCTGGTGATTGTGATGGATTGTTGCTTCTGGGCTTGATGAAGGTGCTGGCTTTTGAAGCTGGAAGGAAACACAAAATCAGAGTCAACACAATATCTGCAGGTATTAACCTTAAGCTCAAATCGATAAATCTAAGCATTACTAAAGACATGAACCGTATCCTTTTGTTTTTCATGGACTGTTTTCTCGATGTCAAAAATGTTACCATGCATGGTCATGGGCATTAATGACATTTATCCTCAATTCCACTGGAAGATTTGTTGTCGAAACAGATCATACAATGATCTTAGTTTTTTTGATCTATGGATTTATGGGAAGGGTCTTTGAAAGTAAATTGAGCTTTATCAGGTTCATCCCACCTTAAGTGAACCACATGTTCCAGAGTGAGAAAGTTGGTGTTGGTTTAGCACCAATTCTGTCAGCTTTCTGTTTCACCCCGCTATCAATCACGGAACATTAGTTCATAGTTGCAGTATATAGAAGCACTATTGCTCCATAAATCAGAATGCATGTAGTACTATTATGTCCTTGCTTTTTAGCAAACTGATGGGAAAAGGCAACTCTCTACCTTGATGTGTAGTGCTGTGATTTGTCTTTGGGTGGACCAGAGAGGTGCTAGCTGGTGATGAGGTGTACTCAAGACATATTCCTCTAGAGCTAATTGTTTTATTTTAATTTTCCAGTTCTTTGGCTTCACTTAGTCAAATTATACCAATAAATAAATTAATGTGTGTCGGACATTTATTGGAAATGAATTTGTTCCGTTCTTCTCTACCTGGTGTATTTAAAATTAAATTCCAGTCATTTAGAGTGGAATCGCTATAACACATGTAATGATAGCTGCTACTGAAGTTTGAAATTGATTGGGGTTTTCATGCTATGAAGTACTTTTTATGGTCCTCTTTCCCCCTCATTTATAGCAAATTTAGTTTGCTAGAGGGCTTTTACCAGGACTTCCATGTTAAACATGTCAAATGCTAAAAAACCTTTTCTTGCATGTTTATGCTAATATATAATAATACATATATCAGGTCCACTAAGAAGCCGTGCTGCAAAAGCCATTGGTTTTATTGAGATGATGATCGATTATTCATCGGAGAATGCACCCTTGCAGAAAGAACTATCTGCAGGTACGTCCACCCATTTCCTCTTCAGCTTTGTCCTCGTGTGGTTGATCCTTTGTATACTTAAACCAACCATCTCATATTTGTTATATTTCAGTTCAATTGAGCAACTTTCACAATATATATATATATATATATATATATATATATATATGCAAGTGCAATGTCATTGGTAGTGCTTTGTGGTTGTTACCATGGTAATTCATAACAGCTCATTGATAAAGCCATGGAAGCACCCTGAAGAGTTCCAAGTGATAATTGCCCAAAAACAATTTCAAACAATTTCATATATGCCACTTGTATATGCTTTCAATCCTCTATACTCCTACTAACTGCTAAGCCTGATAAATAAATGGATCAGAGGAAGTGGGGAACGCTGCTGCCTTCCTGGCGTCTCCTTTGGCTTCGGCAATCACTGGTGCTGTTGTGTATGTTGACAATGGTCTGAATGCAATGGGAGTGGGTGTCGACAGCCCAGCATTTGCAGATCTTGACATTCCAAGAGACAGCTAGAGTTGTGATGATAACAAATTCTGTATCTCGAGTGATGTCTATTGAAAATTTTGATTAGCAAAAACAATTATTGCCTTTACCTTTGTCTTATCATTGAGAATAGCTGAATTGATACGAGGATAATTTGCATCTTTTTGTACGAATAATGTTTATTATTGATATAACATCATCAGAGTTTGTTATAAATGCAATTTAGTATTCAAGGACAGCAGGAAAATATTTGATTTCCCATTTATTGTCTTTAAAGTAGATATTTAAGTTTCTAGAAGCTATTTCTTTATTGTTTTTGATATTGTAATCAAGATGCCAAAGTCGTTGAACGGTGAGCACCCCTCTTATCTTCTTTTAGTGCCCTAGGTTAAAAAAAAAAACCTCGTATTGTTTTAGACTCATTTAATCAGCCTTCTAGGGGGGTATAATAGTTTGTAAAGAGGTTTTCCACAAGATATTCAATTTTGGTCCCTCTTCCTATTTAATTTACCGGAAAATTTGCAATTTTGCATGTCAAGAATTTACAGTCAGCATTGGGCAGAGAATTACTGCGATCAGCCATTACCTCTTCTCAACCAAGTCTTATTTCAATCTTTAGGAACCAATACTTTGAAGGAAGGCCCTGTCTTTGCACTTGCCTTGCTTTTGAAATCACAACTTTTATTTTTAGTCTTACAAACTTCTTGAGGCCAGAAATTCCATGACACATCCTCACAGAACCATCCAACAAAAGAGAGTGAAATCAAAGTCTTTTGGACTATTCCAAAATACTACCAAACAAGAGATTTCAGAGGGACTGTAATGTGCACAAATGATCCTCAATGTACAAAACTAAATAAGCCTAACATTAATTATAGTTTCCCTTGTACAAAAATAAGAATGGAGAAAAAGGCTCTAAATATCTCATCTAAGCTTACGCTTGCCCTTCCGAATAGCTAGAGCCCTCGCTGCTGCAGGATCATCACTTTCAGGAGAATCTTCAACAACTGCCTGTTCTTGCAAAACAAGGCCACGATTCCTAGACAATTTTCTAATAGGAGTGGTAGGTGCAGCTGTTTGAGTTTCTTCAGGTACATCATCATCTGTTTGAGAATTACTTGACATGTCTACTTGATTCCTATTTGGCATTAGCTCCTCCCCAACCTCAACAGAAGAGGTCATCAACTGTGAAATCAATCAATTGGAAAAAAAAAAATATTCAAATTTCTAAATAACAAAAACAAAACTTGCACTAAGAAAACAGATAATTGCAGATACACAGTAAACACATCAAAAATTCATTATGTGATCTTCATGCTACCATGGCTTGCAATTAGATGATTGAGTCAATACTTAATAGGTCAAACATTCCAACTAAGAAATCTAAACTGCCACATACTGGAATTATCATATTAAATTATTAATATAGACCATCCAACTTGCTCAATCACCAAGGATGGTGGAAATTATTGAGCAGAAGTATCAAAGAAAGTCCTGGTAACTATCCATCTAAATCAACATGTATGGGAAAAAAAAACAACTCTTGTAAATACTTGGAATGTATCACTTTCTTTTCCAATACCTTCCAGTCCTTGAAGTCAAATCTGAAAACAAAGTGATTGTAAGAAGCCTCCCCTGAGATGACTGCACTGGAAGCAGGAGCGTTCCTTGGTGCTGATAGGAAAACACGCACAATTATATATTAAAAAAACAGTAAAACAGAAAAGGAGGGAAGGGGTAGAATGAAAGTAAAATATCAATTTTTTTTTGTAAAGAATCTTACAAACTATATGGCAGCCTTTATCATTGACTGTTATTTCTGCTCGTCCATCTTTGACAAGAAATGACAAAGCAAATAAATTTTCCACCGTCTGCGCAAAACAGTTTCTGTTCAACACTAAATTTTCAAGCTTCACCCTCCTATACTTCCTTAAGATATCAAACATAGTTGCCATATTTTTATCGGTGTCTGTTTGCTCTTCTGCTGCAGTATTATCAAGCTACAGAAAGAAGTCCATGTAAATTAAAAAGATTACCCAATAAATCAAGGATAAAGGTACGGACATAATCACTGATATAGAAAGAAAAAAAAAAAAAAAAATTGACATAGCAAACTAGTTATTTCTTTAAAATACAAAACAGGCAAAAGTGACGTTCATCAAGTCCTCAGGTTCATAAATAGAAATACATGCAACCAGTAATTTTGGTTTCTATTGAAGGACTGAATAAAAACTGAGACAGCAAACACAGAAAATTTAAAGGTGACCAAAACTTTCGGTTCCTATCTGACATGGATCAACCTCATCTAGATTTCATTCTAATCCTATGTGATGTTTTACCATAGAGCATTAAATCATATAAACACAAGGAGTGCAATAATTCAGACAAACCTTACTATATACACAAAACACACGTGGGTGGGGGAGAGAGTGAGTGAGTTTATTTAAAAGATATCTAAACTAACAGCCATAATAAATTTTGACTTGAACAAAGACATTATGCTAAAGACACTAGAACAAAAGGGGGAAAGAAGGGCTACTTTATCCTACCAAATTATAGGTTCTGGGATAAACCCATGATCATTCATTGCAGAGATTTAACAGTAATTTATTAAAAGGAAAAAAATAAATAAATGGCAAACAAACACAGGAAAACCATAGCGATATGTGTTAGTATGCACCCTTGAAATGACTTGATTGACTTTCATAAAATCCAATTTATGAATGGACTATTTATTTATAAATTATAGTTCACTGTTTCAGTACATAAATAAGCCTAGATGACTTCTAATCCACCTTGATAACAGGCCAAATACCGAAACCATATCTCTTCAATTCTAATCCACCTTCTTAACCGTTTGAATGCAAAAAATGCAAGTGTTTTTCAGATGAGAATTTGAAGAAAAAAATTTCTTCCTCTTCTCTTGGCAAAAGAGGAAGTGAAGCTTTGAATTCTCACCTCTTCAGGCCTAGCACTTTCTGTTGGCCTCAACCGTTTTCTATGAACAACAGCCTTCCGTTGCTTGAGTTCAGTATTCATAGGTCCAAGCCTGTAGTAAAGTTGCAAACACAGTAATAATCAAATTTCAAGGTAAAAACAAAACATAAGGAATTAAAAAAAGTGTTGCTATTGCTTACATTGTGCAGCATCCAGGAACCCTCCTGAGAACATGAGAAACTGCAAGACCAATATCCTTCCATTGCATTGATATCCCAGCACCCTCTGTGCTGCTCACTCCACCTTGTTGCCCAAAGTCCCTCAGCAGACAGCTAACAAAATCTGAAGGGGTAACTCCTTCATTACCATGAGCCTTAACAGAGGTCACCAAGGTGTTTGTAATGTCCAACAGAGCCTCAGCATCTGCAACCTGTTCTCTTGGTTTTTGTACTGAAATTGAATCAAGTTAACAAAATTGCAAGTTTAAATACTCCTAGTTTATTCAATGCATTACACGAATGAAATGGAACAGCATGAATGAACAACCTATGGAAACATGGACTTCAAAAGGTCAAGCAATTTAGTTTTTGATTTCAGATCATACAAACTTACAAAATGTTAGGGTTTCAGTTTCAAATAGTCTAAACTACATTAGAAAATCAAATGAATACATGACTCAATTTGCAGCCCTCGCAGTAATGCCATGGAAGAATTTCTGAAACCTGGGAGATATCATCTCTTCATACCCAAATAAAAGGCAGATAAAGTAATATTCCAAAACAACTTATAAGAAAAAGAAAAAAAATAAAAAAGTGGATATATCTGATGCTCTGTGTAGATTAATGGTTTCAGGAGAAAAAAAAAAAAAAAGAAGAAGAAGAAGCAAGAAGTGCAAATAATTTACAATGTTTCACATATTTTCTTTTAGTTGGAATTTGCATACATAAGAGACTTCCATTAAACTGAAGCAATTCAACATGTGTCTTAGTTTATGTGACTTTCCAACTTTTCAGAAACCAAACAACATAAAAGAATAAAATTCACATTAACAATTATTTTCTTTTTTCTCAAATTTGTCAGCAACCAAACAAATGGACAGTAAACTTACAAAAAGAAGCAAAAGAAACACAATACTGAATTTGAAAATATGTTAATACCATTTAGTGAAAAATATAATTAAAAAATAATAATATTTTTCATACATACCAAGCTGATGCAAGCTTTCCACTTCATTGATGATCGATTTGAACTTATCAGAGTCAAACTTTGATATATCATCTCTTTCGTCTGCAACAAAGAGAACACATTACAAAACAACAACAACAACAAAAAAAAAAAGCATACACGCAAATATAAATACCATCCAAAATTATAGAAAATACACAACTAACAAATTAATAATAAGCAGAGTTAATTGAAATACCGATAATCAGATTCTTCACAGCAAGATAACGGGATCGAAGAACTCTGCGTTCTGCCACAACTTCAGGTGGCGAATCACTTGGACCTGCTTCATCGTTCGCTGTGCTGTTACTTCTTCTACTGCCAACACCGCTACTACTACTTGGCTCCCTTTTCGCGATTCTAACCATAGCTCTTCTTCCCAAAAATTTCAATCCAAATAGAGAAAGCTAACGAACATACCAATTGTAAACCCTAGAATTCGTTACAGGAATCAATCCAAAACCCTAGAGAGAGAAAAATAAGAGAGAGAAAGAGATTTGGGGTTTGAGAATGAGAAGAACTCAAAACCAAATCAAAATAGACCATGAAGAATAAAAGAGGGAGCCAAAAAAAACCTAAATTTGAAAAAGACTGAAATCGAAATCGAGCGCGCTTGTGGCGCACTACTCAAAATCTCTCCCCCTCTTATAAAAATAGTTCTCTCTCTCTCTAATATTTTGGCTTTACTCTCTGAATAGTCTCTCGATATGCCTATGATGCATATGCAGCGGGCACTCCTTCAGATCAACGGCTCTGATTTGACGAATATGAGCGGACGTGTGAGGGTAAGTGGACACGTTTGGGTGTGACTAGGAGCAGGGACGGACATCGTTTTAAGTTGGGATTAAACTTGTGCTGGAAGCCTCAAGGCTGAAGGAATCCTTATGTCAGCGGGATGTTTGGTTTTAATAATTATAAAAAGGAAGGAAAATAAAAGGACGAAGAATGGGGGAATTTTTTTTTTCTTTTTTTTTTTTAACTAGGGTCGGTGTGGTTACATGAATAATAGTGATTTTTGTGAGAAAGTTAATAATTTTCTTATATATATTTTTTTGGTCAACAAAACTTCTAAAGTGTTCACAAAATTTTATTTTCTATCTAACTATATAAATGGAGCCTATTTGATCAAGATAAATCACTAATTTCCTTCGACTTTTAATGATTTTTTTGTTCCATGGCGAAGGAAATTAGTCTAATGTGACCTGAGGTCACAAGGTTGAAATGCGAAAATAGTCCTTCGTCTTGAGTAGGTCAATGTTGTTAGAGTATCTCTCAATTTTATTATGCTGTTTCAGTCAAGGTAATGAGATATTTCTTTAAGATGGAACTATAAAGAGATCATTACTATAGGTGGAGCAATGAAAAAGCCAATGGAGACATATAGCCTGATCACGTGAAATATTTGGGAGGGTCAAATTTACAGATTTCAATATCTATCTTTTGCCAATGGGGTATCGCAATGAACCTGGCGCATGTGGCGTGCAGTTTTTTTGGCTTTGACTATTGTTGATGTAAAAATTCTCACGATCTGAAACGGCAGCATTTATCTTCAAACACAAAAGGACGTCATCTCGAAACGATCAACTTAATGCTTGTAATCATATTACAAATAATCATGTATCTAATGTTTAGGAGTTTTTTCTCATACCTTGTTTAATGGCTTTGTGCCCTATTTATGGCTATCGATTGGAATTAAATTGGTTCAGCCGATGTCGATGGTTGAGATCTCCCTTATCATCTGTTGAGTTGATGAGTTGATGAAGTTGGTTGCGATATTGGGATTTACCTTATCTCTTTAGTCACTTAAATGACAATATCTCTATATCTTCAAGTTGGAGAGGAATGGCTGCGGGTCAACCCTAAGTTTACATTTTTTCCTCATCAACCACTGCCAAAGCACAACTAATTCCTTTCATTCCTTTCATCCTTTCAAACCAGTCCCTCTTGGGTAATGAATTACACAACATTTGTGTATAGAATTGAGAAGCTGCCAAATATTTTCCTAATCATTTTTTTAAGCCAGAAGACTTTGAAAAAAAAGGGTGAATATTTGGGAAGGAAGTTGTGCCTGCTATTTAGTATTGAAGACTAATATGGTAACTCTTTGTAAGCAAGTTTGAGAATACTAGTCCCACAAGAAATTGAGTTTTAAAGCTATAAATAGATATGGGTTTAGAAAAAAATAATTATAGAGAGAAAAACTGAAATGAGACTGTGAAAAGAAAAAAAGTGCCTAATAAAGTTGTTGTTCTTGGCCCGTGGACTAGATAATTTGTCAAACCGAGTAAGTATCGTTTTGATTGTGTGCTTTTTTATTTTATATTTACCAATTGTGTGTGTGAAACCTTAATAAATGAGTGCCAATGGCCTGACCATTAAGTAATTATTTATTTGAATACATGCATATAGTTTTACATTATGACTTCTCTACAATTATTATTGTTATTATTTAATAAAAATCTCCCTAATTATTTATTTATTTATTTGCCTTGATTTTTTTCAATCTTTTTTTTTTTTTTTTTTCATTATTTTTCAATAAATTTGCCTCCGTTCCTCCAATCAATCCTTAATTTTCCTCCTTCATAGTTGTCTTATACATTTTGTTTTTGTTTTTATTTTCTTTTTCTTAGATTTTTAACCCTTAAAATTTTATTCTTCCTGTACGCATGCGTATAGCCTTGGCTAGTTAATTTTATTTATTATTATTATTTTTTTGATCATATCTGAGAAACTATCTGCTCTTCAAATTTTGAGAAACGCTCATCAAATATATTTGAATTTTAAAAAATTTAAAACTCCCACCAGCTAACAATATTAAGAATATATCGCCCACGTAATTACAATCATAACCCTATTTATTTTATAAATTTACACACACCCATGCTAATACTATCGTAATTTCGTGAGAAAATAAGGGTGATGTTGACATTCCATCCAAATAAACATATATGGGAAGTCCAGCTATATTTTAGCGGAATCTCCGCTAAATTCAGCAGCATCGTCTTCAAAACCACCACTTCTCTCTCTACCCACTCACACACAGACACAGTGACTCTCTCTCTCTCTCTTTCTAACACTCAATCGATTGTTTTCAGTTGTTGCGAGTTTGAGAAAATGAAAGCTTCAATCAAGTTTCGTGAAGACCAAAAGCCTCTGTTTCGGGCCAAAGTTCCAGTCAACATCCTAGGGTTTCCATTTCAATCCGGTATAGTTGCTGGTGAATCCAAAGAACTCTCTTTGAATCTCGGCACTTTCTTCGATTCAGGTCCCTCTCTGAAGATTGCCTATCGTCCCAATGATTCGCTCAATCCTTTCGGTCTCGTATTCAAAACCGGAACTGGTCACTTCGGGTCGCCGATTTCGAGCTCCATGACCATGAGCGCTGAGTTCAATCTGATCGGCAACCAAAACCCTAGCTTCTTCGTTCACTTCAAGCCTCAGTTCGGCGACTTCTCGATTAAGAAGTCACAATCGTCGGATTTTGTGAAGAACATTAAAGCAAAACCAAACGGCGTCGTGCCGGCAGATGATGCCTCGGTGGAGGTAATCGATACGCCGCTTGTGAAAAGTGGGTACTTCACGGAGAACGGACTGTTCTCCGGCGATAAAATTACGATTTCGCCCTCGGAATCTCAGGCGGCGAGTATGATTGGAGCTTTATTAAACGGTACGGAGGTGAGTGCGAGGACCGTCTTACCGGTGAGAAAGAGCGCCGTCGTGAAGTTCCGTTGGGGAGTAAGATTCCCGGCGGCGGCAGAGGAGGGGTTAGCGGCGAAGACTAATCCGACGGCTGGGAGTTCGTTTCAGAAGATTCCGCTGCTCGTGATGAACAAAATTGGGGTCGAACACGTGGTGGAAGATGATCCAAATGATTCAAACAAGGTGGGACCGACTCTACAGTCGCCGGGAAATGCCGAAGTGGCAGAGGCATGCTTCAAAGTTAAGCAACAGCTAGAAGTTATACAAGCTGAGAATGGGTTACTTAGAAAAACTTTAGATGATCTGAGGTTGGAAATTGTCGGCGGAAAATCGGCAGGAGTGGTTGATTTTGGCAAGTACAGAGAAGGGGTCAAAACTTCTGGGGGTAAAGTTGATCGGAGGGGCAACGGCGATAAGAGATCATCGGAATCAAATGGTTTTGGCGGTAAGGCGACGGAAGGGGACGTGAATGAGGAGTTGAAGAAGGCGTTGATGGGGGCTACTGGTGCCTGAATCTGACGACACTGCCGGAAATATGTAATCTGATTCAATCTACTGTTCTATAGTTTGCATTAGGAAGGACTCAGACTCAGTTTTTATTTCTTTTCTTTTTTCTGGGAGTGAGGTGAGGTTTCAATTGGCGTATGTTTTAGTTTTTGAATTGTTTGTGATTTTGTTAAAAAATTGGGTTTTTGTTTGGTCATTAAGATGTGGACCATATGGTTGTGTAAATTTGTTTTATGTGTTTTATACATAAGGTTATGTTTGGAGTCTTTTTGGGTGGCGGAAGTTTGGATAAGTAGTAGCTTTAGTTTTGAATGTTTTTTGTTGTCTTTAAAATTGATCATCAAATCAAATTATCAAACTCAAAATTTTCATGACCCACCATCACAATAGAGAAATTAAATTATTAAATGATCCTACGTAGCATGATTCAAACTCAACTAAATTAAAATTACAAATAAATTTATACTTTTTTATTGTATTATTATATCATCAAATAGACCATTTATGAAATTACAATAACATATCAAATTGCTTATGATTGAGAACAATGTAATAAAAAAAATAATTTGTCTCGTGTTTTTTAAAATTCGTTTAGTTAGTTTGAATTGGCATTGTTGGATGACTTTGAATAGCAATGCTGGCAAAAAAAAAAAAAAATGATAGGGTAATTTTGTCATTTCGTTGTTAAAAAAATAGAATGAGTACAAGAATATTATGTCCTGTGATCTATTTGCGATGCTCCAGAAAAATGTTGTCATGAAAACCCTTTAACATAAATTTGTATTCTAGAATTGTGTATGAAAAAAGAATGATAAATAAAAAAATTTAGGATTAATTTTACCCACACTCCCGCAGGTTTGGACAAATATCACCTTCATATTATAAACGTTTGGTACGTTTTTCACTTACACCTCAAACGTTGTCAGACAATTTTCAAATGTAAAAGAATATTGTTGTTACCCCCTTTGACTATGTGTTGACTTAGAAAGATGTTTGAAATTACTTAGGCCCTATTTGGGTAGTGTGCTGTAGTGTTCCCTACAGTGCTACAGTACCCATTTTCAGAACACATGCTGTTTGGGCCCAACTTGTTGTGTTCTCAACAGTAGCGGAACACCAAAGAACAAATCCAATATTTGGCCCAAAAACTGGAACAATAATTTGGTGTTCTATGTTGTTCCAAGCCCATTTATTTTTAATGTAGCAAGATAATAATAAATTTTTCTGCCTTCCAATCGTCTCCATCCCCATTCTCGTTCTCAACTCTGAACTTGCCCTAATTTCAGATCAAAAAAAATTCCTTAATCGCTTCCCAATGGCGATTTCACGGCAAATCATTTCAACCTCCTAATCGCCTCCATCTCTATTCTCGTTCTCAACTCTGAACTTGCCCTAATTTCAGATCAAAAAAATTGTGAACTTGCTCTCTCTCTCTGTGCAAATGCAAATTACAAAATATACAAGCATCAGTTGCCCTCTCTCTCCCTCTCTGCAACTGCAAACTACAAAATCTACAAGAATGGGTTTCATTTCAGATTGTTCAAAACCCATATCTTTCGGTCAAGTGTCAGGTCCACCTTTCTTTGAGACATTTTTTTGAACATATATATACTGATTTACAATATTGTTTGACCAGAGATGCAAGAGGAGGGGCGGGTCTCTTATTTGATGTGAGCTTTGCTCTCACTCTGTTCCAGACCTGTTACGGTAGAGTCAATATTTAGTTTGAAGTACAGTTATGCAATAAGAGAGAGAGCTACCTTGTGTGTATGGGTTTTCACTGTTCCACTGTGTTTGGGTTTGCTTGTGTGTATGGGTCTCAACTCTCAAGCTTGCCCCCTCTCTCTCTGTAACTGCTAACTTGTGTGTATGGGTTTTGTTTTAATTTTTTTTTTTTTTTTTCCTAAATCAACTAATCAAGCTCTGTAATTCTTGTTTTGCAAACTAATGAAGCTCTGTAATTAATTTAATTTAATCATCCAAAAAAAAAATATTAATTTCCATTCCAAAATTCTCACTCCAAATTTTTGTTCCAAACATATTTTGTTCCCATTTCAAAACATCACACTACAAAACACTTGTTCTGTTCTAGATTAGAACAGTACAGAACATCACACTACACTTCCCAAACGGGCCTTTAGATACCTTTTACTTTATAAATTTACAATTATCCTTCATTTATATATATATTTACAATACTTACTAGCTCAGTTGTGTCTCTTATGAGTAGAGAGAAAATATATCAAAGGAGCTTTAAAATATATCACGAAAATATCCTTCCGTGTATATATATATATACATATATAATTAGATAAAGGAGGAAGAAGAGAGAGGATGGGAAATTGGGAAGGAACAATGGTGGTGAAGAGCAAGCTATTATGTTAAACTGCCAAAAAAAAAAAAATAATGTAAGTTGTTATGTTAAACGTGATTAAAGATAAAAGTTGATTGACAGTAGCTAGATAATACAAATATATATATATATATATATATATATATATATATAATTTTTTTTCTTTCTTTCTTCTACTTTCATCTCTCTATTTTCTCGATCTTTATTATTATTTTTCTGTAATAAATAACCAGAAAAAGGAAAAGCTTGAAGAATGTAAAAATGGAGGAATTGGGGTGTTGGTCCAGCAAAGTGAGAGAGAGGAGTGGGTAGGTGAGAGTAATTAGTGAGGGCAATTCTGTCCTTTTAAATTGTTGATATTTTGAAATAAAATGTATGAAAAAAATTAGGGATACATTTGTTTTTTCGCACGGTTCTAACGGCGTTAAACGAAAAAGTAAAGTTAGATTTAAGTGATAGTTATTTTCGAATAGTGTTTTAATGTAATATTTGACCAAATTTGAAGGAGTGTCAATGAAATTAATCCATAAATTTATAGTGGATAAGGACTCCAATTATTATTATTATTATTTTAATTCTGTATGGATATAAAAAATATGCGAGGGGATGAAAACATTGAAAAGGAGTGAAATAAGAACCCTCGTGACAGGCTTAATCATTTTTAAAAAGTTAAAATAATTTCCCTTTCCCTGATTGCTCTCCCTCTCCTAATTACCTCATTTATTAATGTTGTTAATTGTTACATTGTTAAAAACTAAATACTATAAGAAGAAATGTTTGGTAAGAAAAGTAGATATGAAGAATTTCACTGTGCATTTCTTGGTTTGGTTTGGTTTACTTTTGGCAATAATAGGACCTAAGCCACATGACTTACATCCTACCATTTGGTTGAAAAAGACACAATTAGTCCCTTCCCAACTTTTCCTTAAAATCTAAGCGGGCATGTGTATGTATATATTTTTTGGGCAAATTAAGAAGAGTGAAATTCAAATACGAATACACTTATTTTGAGAGTTAGGCACGGTATCAGCTAGGCCGAATAATATAGTCTAAACATAAAATACATTAATAAGTAGTTAATGAGTGAAGATGGAATTTTATAAAACAGATGTAATATAAGACTCCCATTAGACATTTTTTTGGACCAGTGAAAAACACTCCATTACACCTTCTCTCTCTTTTTTTTTTACGCTACTAGTAACTTAAAACAAGTTAAGTTTAAGTACGGACAGCAAATTAATATGCTTTCTTGATTTTCACCTTTAACAAGGATAAGTAAAAGTCACTTGAGCCAAGAGTTTTTGTATTGAAAAGTTACATTTAACAATAGTTTTTTATTATTTCAATTGAAAAATTAAAGTATTATTATTATTTTGATAGTATTATCAATTTAACCATCTATTATTGCACTTAAAAAAACAAAGAGAAAAGAGTAAATCATTCCATCCTTGTAGATCCATTATAAATAAATTTGATACAATAAAAAAAATTACTAAAAATATCTTATTAAAAAGTTAAATTTCCCAAAAGAACCATTTTTATTTTTGGGAGGAGAATGTAAAAGAATATAAACATATATAGGGGCAAGATAGCGATTTTATTCGTGAGAAGTCAATTTTGAAAGCAGACTTTACTAGCTTTCACCTTAATGGACTATTTTGACTTGTTTTAAAAGTCCCTTTCATAAATTTGATCAAAACCTATGTTAATATGGAATGACTTGTGGGTTTGGGCCATAAATATGGAACACCATACAAAATTTAACCTTTTGTTAGAAAATAGAACCGAAATCAAATATGACTTGGAAATTGATCCTACTCTCCCGATAACTTGAAAAATCTAAAATCAAGCAAAAGATTAGAACCTCCTAATCTTTATGTTGGCCATGGTCTATTCAGTAATAAATAAATAAAAAAAAATGAAAAATTTGCTAACGCAACAAATATTATTGTTCTATAAATTTTTAGCCTAGTAAAAAATTAGATGGAGAGATTTTTCAAAAAAAAAAAAAAATTAAAAAAAAAAACATAACCGGATTCATCATGAATAAATTTTATACAATGATGTATATAATCAATGATGTATAAAACTATGGAACCTAACTTAAATGTGTGTATCTCAGAACTATAATTAATGATGTATCAACACCACAAACCCTCTCCCACCTACACCAAACGACTCATAATTTATCGGACCGTTGGATCCGGGTACTGCGACTTGTGAATCGTGTGGCTTCTAAGTTGTTATCTATCTAACCCCATCAAGGCATGTACACATACCTACCAAATCATAAAACAACATCCATAAGGATATTTTAGTCAATAACTATTTATTTAAAATCCTGAAATATAGAAGGTAATTTTCATAGCTGGTGAGGGTAGCATAGTAATTGAGAGCGATAAAGAGTGTGTCGTCTAAGCCGAGCCGAATGGTACAGAGAGAGAAAGTAGCGAGGAGGAGGAGGGAGCCCTAGTTTTAAGAACCTGGCAGAAAATGGAGGAATCGCAGCAGATAAACATAACAAGGATAACATAGACGTTGTTTACCTTTTCATGGCCAAACCGGACGACACAGCAGAGAAAGAACCGGAGGCACCGTGGGGGACATGGGAGGAGCTCCTGCTAGCCTCCGCCGTCAACCGTTACGGCACCAACAGCTGGGACTCCGTTGTCGTTGAGATACAGAAGCGAAGCTCTACCTCCATCCTCTTAACACCCCACAATTGTGAACAAAAGTATCACGACCTCAAACGTCGATACATGGCCAACGGGACAAGAAACGACACCGTTTCCAGATCGGACGATGTCGGCGACGCCGGGACCGACAATACTATACCTTGGCTCGATGAGTTGAGAAAACTCCGAGTCGCCGAACTCAAACGTGAACTCGAACGTTACGATCTCTCCATCGTGTACATCTCTAATAAGTCCACTCCCATATATAAATAAATACATGTTTTTCACACAGTTTTTTCAGAACGTTTTAATCGAAACTATGGTTTTGCCATTTTTAGTTAAAAATCTGCTTGTGAATCTTGAATTTGAGAGGTTCTGATTGCGATTGGTTTACTTGTTAGGTCTCTCCAATTGAAGGTGAAGAGATTGAAAGAGGAACGAGAACAGAGTTCGAGAGAGAGTGAGAAAGAAAGAGAGAAATCAGATCTGGAGAAGAGTGTAGAGAGAGATATAAAGGAAGAGAAGATAGACGAAGACGGTGAGCCGAAGAAGTTATCGCCGGGATCGGTTGCTGATAAACCGGTTTCCGGTGAAGAATCTGACAGGGAGAACCAGTCGGTCAACGAGTCGAATTCGACAGATCCGAAAATTGAGAATGTCGAAACCGGTCCAGCAGGGGCTGAGAAAGAACCGGAACCAGTTGAAACCGGTGACGATAAACCAGATCCGGTCGGTGATTCAGCCAAGCCGGCCGGAGAGGATTCGTGTAACGGAAGCTCGGATAGTATAGCGAAAGAACCGGCTCGTGAACCGGTGAAGATTGAACAGGAGGGTGGTGGGAGTGAGTCGCCCGAGTTATTGGAATCGGTGGCCGAGTCGAAAGGTGGAAATGAGGAGGGGGCCAAGGAGAACAGCGATGTGCAGAGCTCAGCGAGTTTATCGAGAAAGAAGGGACGGGATAAGCTGCGCCCAGGTGCATGTAGCAGCGGTGAGGTGCCGGAGAGCGATGATCGCTCTCCCGCCACCAAAGAGGTCTCCGTCAAGTCACAGCCGTTGATTGATTTCCTCGAGTCCATCCGATCTCACAAGCTCGGCTCGCTCTTTGAGCGCCGGCTTGAGAGTCAGGTAAAATATATTACTAATATTTTTTTAAATGTTATCAATTTCAAAATTTTCTTGGTAAAAGAAAAAAAAAAAGTTCTTCTAACAAATAAAATGAGAGATGAGACTAATTTGGGCCCACTCAAATAAAGTAACTAAGCTAGCATGTTTTCCTTTTAGAAGAATAAATTGTGTTGGTTTTTATTTTATTTTATTTTTGTGGCTTTAGAATACAGTTAGTTCACAAGAGGTTTGGACCAATTTATTTCAAATTACCAAATTACCCATTTGATGCATGGATATTCGATACCAACATTTAGGCCCAATTTAATGTTTGTTCTCTTCGCTGGTCATAACAATGATGCCTTTTTATTGCATAGGGACGAGTTTGATATTTACGTGTTTGCTGGTCCCGCGCTTTGTTCGTATCCCAATTCATTTTATTGAGATATCATTTGTCGCTGATAATGTCAAACCCGAACCATCTGTATAAAGGTGGAGGTGTTTTTATTCATTTATGAGGTTCCAATTTTTTTTGTCTACCGAATGTATTTGATTTAAAAATGTAGGAGGCAACTTAATGCAATGGATAAAATTAAGCATGGAAGATGTGAAAATATGCATACATCTTTTATCTTCCATGTATTAGTTTTTTCACAAGTGATTGCAAGGATTAAATAGATAATTCTTTTTTCTTTTAAATTTTTTTGTTTTCGTCTAATGTCAAATTTATTTATTTATTTATTTTTATTTTTATTTTTATTTTTTCCGGTTGATATAATTCATATGTTTGTCCTCCTGAGATTGTGTTTGGCTGCTATAGAATAACGAATGTTAACCCGAGTCCATGACATCAGTATGTTTGAACCTCACTTATGGGTTTCAGTTTATTGACCAATTTGATTGTGCATTTGATCTACTTTGGTCTTTATCAATTGCTTAGAAAATAAAGTTTCTAACCGGATGCCGTACTAATTATTTTGATGCAAATTGCCTGAGTGTTTTGATAGGTGAACAGTTGGGTAAATTTGATGTTAATTTCAATGTTTTGTATATATATAATTTTTTCTTTTTGAAATTCACAGACCCACATTGCCCCTCTAGGGATTTTCAACCTTCCATGTGATCCTTTATGAGGATGAGGCTCATGGGCACATTTTCAATCTAATTTTATTTAGCATTTATTTTCTTGGATGATGATGCAAAACCGTTTTGACATGTTGTCGTAAAACTTTTCAGGAAACCCCAACATATACAAACTTGATACGGCAACATATAGATCTCCAAACAATACGAACGAGGATTGAAGAAGGTTGGTATTTGGGCTGCAACCGCAAGTTTTTTCGTGATCTGCTGCTTCTCGTCAATAATGCCATTGTCTTCTTTGGAAAGAACTCCTCAGAATCTGCCGCTGCCATTGACCTTTGGCAGCTCGTTTCAAAAGAGATGGCTCAAAGAAAGGATAAGTCAGATCTGTTGGTAGAAGAACGACCTTCACTGCCACCGGTCCCCTTGCCTTTTAAATCAGATCCCGAACCGTCTGCTCCTTTGCTCCTAAAACCAAAAATGTCAGTGCCAATGATTGTTTGCCGTAAACGCAGCTCAATTGCGGCAAAAGCATCAGGGTCGGCTTCAGGAGCAGCAGATAAAAAGAGAGAAGCATCAGGATCGGCTTCAGGAGCAGCAGATAAAAAGAGAGAAGCATCAGGGTCGGCTTCAGGAGCAGATAAAAAGAGAGAAGCATCAGTGTCGGCTTCAGGAGCAGATAAAAAGAGAGAGCAAACACCAGCATTGGCTGAGGAGAAATCAGTTCCGGATTGGAAGTTACCTGACAAAATCTCTGGTAAAGCAGAGGAACAAATCACAAAGAAAAGAACAAGAGATAGATTTGTTTCAGGTTCAAGAAGCTCAAGGAAAAATAGCAAGAGTCGTACTAATACTAACTCCAACAAGAATTCAGAAGCCAGTCTTAGCCAAAACCAAGGCAAGGGTGGGTCTCCCAGTGAGCATTCAGAACCTGGAAGTGAGAAGAAGAATACCACAACAACAACTACAACTGGTGTAAATAAACGAAGTGCAGCTACCTTCTTGAACCGAATGAGGCGAAGTTCATCCTCGCACAACGGGTCATTGCTAGATACATTGAAGAACTCTGCAATCAGTTCTGACAATAACAAGGGAGGAACTGAGCAGAAGAGAAGTGGCAATGGTAGGGGCGATGTAAGGAAAGAGCAGGTAAGCAGGAGGAGTTCGGCAGGGAGGCAAGTGAAGGAGCAGGGAAGCCCGTCAAAGAGAAGTGTTGGACGGCCACCAAAGGGAGCAACAGCACCACCTCCAACCCAACCGGCAGTTTCAGGCAAACGGAGTAGGGAAGTAAGTGAAACAGAGGCAGTGGCTTCAAAACAACCAAAGAAAAGATCAAGGAAGTAATTGCAGCCTCTGTATATTATGTGTATGGGTTAATGTTTAAGTTGTAATCATGAATTTGTTTTATAACAGCAGATTTGTTTTGTTTTGACTCCTTTTGGCATGTCTTTTTGGCCACATCATTACTGGGACTCCTATTTTGTAGAACAGTTGGAAACACAATTATGAAGAAAATTCTGTTTCAGTTGAGAAGGGTTTGGTTCATCTTTAGTTGGTTTCTCCTTTTAATACTTGGGGACAGTTTTAGTTTCTGGTAAAGGCCCAACTTTGCATGGAAGTTGCTAATAGATGTAAAATATCAAAAATTATTGTTTGTTTTTGCTTTTGGATTAAAATAAGAGCTTTTTATTTATTAGATTCATCATCCATCAGATAAAATAGCTTATTCCTACCTTCTTTTGTTTTGCTCTGTGATCTTCAAGCCAGCCTGATGGGGGAAGCCAAGGGCAATTTTGGGGGTCATTGTGCTTGTCCACACCTTCCCAACCAAGTACTCATTGGAATGTTGGTTGCGCAATTCTCATGAAGGGCCTCATTGAGTATCGATTGCCCAACGAATGATTGACATGGCAGCTGCATCTTCCATACGACACGGGAGGTGTTGATGGATCCACAGGTAGGCCTTGCTTTCTTTATACATACGTGTACATGTACAGAGTCTGCAATGGATCTTTGTTTACTTATCTGCTAATAGGAACTTAAAATGCTGTCATCTTTTGACCGTAATTTTGGAACTATTGTCATTTTATTGCTTTTTGTGTGATTAAAATTGATTGGTAATCCTTGATTTTTTGTTATGGTGCTCGTTATGATTTAAGTATGATGAGATAGAAGTAACATTTTTTTTTTTTTTTGGTTTTTTATTTTTATTTTCAAGAGTTAGATTTAATAAGTTCCGTTGTACATCTTGCGCTCACATTATCTACATACCTTACTTGATTGACTATTTCTTTGAATTATGGACAGAAGTATCTATCGGTTGTTAACAGTACTTATTTCATGCGAGAGATTTATAAGTTGAATGTTTTTAGTTCGGTGGAATGATTGTATGGTTTTATTTGGTTGTCATTCATATATTTTTAAAATAATTTGGATTTTTAGAAATTAGATGGGTTGATTCAGTTTTGTTGATATTTTGATTTATGGTTAAAAGAAGATATAAAATTCTTAGTCGTAACTCTTAATTTAATGGAAAGTTATCGTTTCAAGAGAATAAGATATTGTATTGAAGGTAATTTTTGGGGTTCTCTCACATATTTAGGTTGATGGATTTATATATTGATGTTTTGTTTTGAATGGAAGCAGTGTTACGTGTTGTTGTGGATGAGAGTATGAAGCGTAGTTCTGGAGAGATTGAGGTTGAGGAGGTCCTGTCTAGTGTTTCCAAGGCTCTTCAAAATGGCACTAAGTTGTCCGGATGTCACCTTATGGTTTTAGGGTCTGGAGTCCTTAGTTAAAGTTGAGGCTGAATATAGCGGCAGGTTTTGAATTCCAAGTTTCAAAGTTATGATGGTTGTGATTATTACTTGGTTGAGGTTGATATTTACCTAAACACTCACTCCGTATATATTTTGCATCGCATCAGATAGATAGAAGAAGCCGTTCTCTTCTTTCACATTTCAACTGCTTCCATAAACATTATTGTCATTGATGTTATGTGAGTTTTCGACTATACGTCTTAGAAATCCAAAAAAGCAAGAAAAACACTATCATCTTTAGAAGAAACTGCAAAATGGCGATTTTTGAATATTTTCCCTTTCGGTCAAAAGAATCAAAAATTGAAATGACATTGTTGTTGTAGATTTTTAACTGATCTTGTTTTTCTTATGTGCTTTATAGTTTATGGAACTTTATATGAACAGCCTCTTCGCGACCTTTCCATTTCTTTGGTGAAAATCTTAGGATCTAAATGGAATCATTCTAACCAGAATTATGTTGAACGGAATCTGAAGCAGGAATTTGTCATTATTATTGTTACTTGAACGGGTGCACCAATTTCTTTGTTCTTCCGAAAAAGTCATAGGTTATCTGAATTTGTGCTACCTTTTTGTTTTTGTTACCTTGTTCTCATATAATAACTGTTTTTCAGTCCCTAAAATTAGAACTCTGTGTTATGGGGGCTAGAGAAGGTTTCACTGCTCATTGGATCTTCAAAGCTGAGAGTACCTAGTTCATTAAGATGTTTTCATCAACCCAGTTGCTAATTTTGTTTATACATGATTTGATTTGCAGGAATTCGATAATAGTGTTCTGGATCTGTGGTAAAATTATCCAAAGCTAGATTTCATCATCATAGAAGCTAATAAAACAAAATTGCACCAGATATGGAGATCTTCCAATAAAAGCTACCATGTTGACTCTGCAAATAACTTTGTTACCCAATAGGTCACAGTTTGGACTACTGCACTCCCAAGTGCGTGGACATAAATTAAGACATGTTACAGGTTGGAGAACTTGGTTAAGCTACAAAAAAAAAAAAAAAATAAATAAAATAGTGCACAATTCCATTGCTTCAACCTCCAAACACCACCAACTAGAAGAAGAGAAAAAATAAAAATAAAATAATAATCAGACGTCATCGATGAAATCATCTTGCTGGTTGTCCGATACAGTTTGACCTATTATTGCCATTTGGTTGCCAACTTCAGAACCATAAACGCTTGCTCCATTTGCCTTGGCCTGGAGATTGGGTCGATGCTGGTTTCCACTGTATTGCATGTTTCTGTCCATTGCATGTTCATGAGAGAGTGGCTGCCCTTCATCTGGTTTGAAGCAAAGAAAACACGTACAACAAACATCTGTTCAGCTCATTGAATTGGGAAAAGAAAAATAAAATAATTAAAATAAAATAATTCCCATGATCACTCGATGCAAAGGGCAGGCTGATAAAAAAAAAAAAAAAACTTTTAAGTGCACATAATACAACCACTACAACCAAATGTCACATTTACATAAGAAGACCAAAGAGGGAGCGGACCTATCTTCTTTTAAATTATTGTTCTGCTTCTTTATCAGGGCCAAAAAAATAAAAAGGTAGGGCATAAAATTCACCAAACAAGCATTTAAAAACCTCTGTAAGTTATTCAGTTGGCAATCAGAATCCATTTTTTATTGTCTGCATACGAACTTCTTTTCCCAATAATTCTACTGCTGCAAAGTTTCATTTACAAACCGTCCCAAAAATGTGGATTGTCATTATCAAATATAAAACCATGCTCCACAGTATCACGCATAAAATTGACAACACATTCAAAGACGTTCTCTAAAAATAAAAGAAAAAAAAAAAAAAAAGGGGAAACATTGTTGATAGCACAGAAACAAGCTAACATTTTGAACATGCCAATAAAAAGTAAACTGCTTCACAAATTTATAGTGATACATGGGATTTAATTTAAATTCCAAGAATACACAATAATAAACAAACGAATTACTTATGTACACACGTATTTTTTATTACCACTTTCGGAATCAGAAGCATCTGCCAGCTTTGCAATCACATCAATCAGTGCTTGTTCGTGCTCCTGCATTACCAATAACAGCAAAGCTCGTGATGCAAAACAAAAGGGAGAACGTAAGGATTTTGTAGGATGCATTCCAGTTCTCACCTTAAGCATTTTCTTTGCCTTTTCAATCTCAAGCAGATCAAGATGACTAGAATTGAAAACCTTCTCCACCTGCTAAAGGAAAAAAATGTTTAAATGGTGTGATGTGGTTCACTAACTCATTTGAATGTGTATAGCTTGTATGATGCGCCCATAGGTCTATTCAGTGCAAATTACATTATACAAGGTCACAATTAACATATCTTTAATTTAGTCATAAGAAAACTATTTATAATATGAATTGCCTAAAGATCATCAGGAAAAGTACCTCTTTTACTAATGTTTCTGTGTGAAGTATTTCAATATCATCAGAAACTTCCTTCACAATTCCATTCCGTGATGGTGTGAATTCATTTTTAAATTGATCATTTTTGGATCCTCTCCTGCTTCCAGCACCCAGAACCCCATGGCCCATAGAATTCTTAACACCAACGCCTCGACCACCATGACCCCCACGATGGGATCTTCCTGGACACTCACCTTCCCATAGGATATCCTCCGGAGGAATCTGACATTAGTAAGATATTATAGAACTCCTATCGACAACTTTGTCAATGGGAAATCCAATTAAGTAAAATGAAAAAATAACTAAATGCCTGAAATACAAAGTTTTGTTTCGTTTAAAAGGAAAAAGGTCCCAGATTTATCTCAAATCATGCACGTGGCTGGACCTAAAAGGAAAAGTTATGTTTGTCTTTACAATAATTCTCTTGGAATGATAATAAAAGTACCAGAAGATCATTGAAGGATAGGTTACTTATTTACTGTCCAATAGTTTCTTTTTTCCTGAAACAGCCAGATTGTTTTTGATGATATGGATAATGGGTGATTTCTGCTTTGTACCTTTCCATGGCCAGAATGGTCTTTTAAACAAAAAGGAATGGGATTAATAATGTTGTACCTACCTTGAATAGTGTATATGCACTCTTCTTCATGCACACAACATGAACCTATTTTCAGTTCTATCCCATGGAAACTTTTATTAACCCCCCACCAAAAAAAAAAAAAAAAGCTGGAAAAATAAAGGGGTAAAAAAAAAGTAAAGGAAAGAAACTTAGGCGGAAAGATTATGCTCTACAAAGTCCAAAACTTCAGACTGCCGCAGGCAAGGTCTGAAATTGTCATTGGAATACAATTCAATATTGCAAACTTGAAAAGGTGCAGAATGCACAACTTTAATTCCAAATTTATAATTTTGCAGATGAAATGGTAGCCACTAACAATTTTTATATCAGTTATGACAACTAAATTTTTTCAGTAAATCTTGATAAAAGTTCAACATATAATCATATTAATATTAATATCATCATTCACCTTTGGGTTGAAAATCAGTTACTACAAGAACATAATTGACATTACGGATTTCCTTGAAAATGAATTGGATTTTAAAAGCAGAAAACAGAAGATAAGTAAGGAAATCATTAAAAATAATAAAAAAATAAAATCAAACATAGATGCAAAACTTATGAAGTTCTTTGTTTAATCTACCAAGATTTTGAGTGGCTAGTATTGATGCCAAATTGCCAATACTTGGTTTAGCCTACAAGCTAAGTAAAAAATGGATGGATACAGGTAAAGTAGTTTCAGCCAAAATACAAAAAAAAAATTTAACTAATTTTACTCATCAAGAAAGAAAAAAAAAAAAAAACTAATTCAACATTATCGACATAATTGCTGCAAAAAGTAACTATTTGAAAAGAGGCAAATAATTTGTAATCTTGTGCATGACAATGCATGAGACTTACTTCTTTGAGATCAATCCATTCCCAGGTCTCGTTTGCTGTATGTATATCATAGACCAGGGCATGTCGGCCCTGAAAATAATTATCAAAAAAATAGTGAGGTACAAAATCTTCTGAATATTGAACACATGTGAGCTTATAATTAAACAAAGTCGATGTTTCTAAAGATGTAAATATAATGACTTGTATTTATCATTTGATGGAGTCAAAGTCTCATAGTTTCGAAAAAATGAAAACATGAAAAAACACTGTTTACCTCACTAAGGTACCACTTTTAGGCACATAGGTACCACTTTTTGTGCATGCAGGTACCACCTTTTGTCATCAGGTAGCACTTTTTGTGCTGCACAAAAAAGTGGTATCTGATACACAAAAAGTGGTACCTCTATGCCCAAAACAAAAGTGGTATCTAATGCACAAAAAGCGGTACCTCCGTGCACTAAAAGCGGTACCTATGTGCCTAAAAGCGGTACCTATGTGAGGGTAAACAATGTTTTTCCATGTCCAAGTCAGTATTTTGGTCAACTTCATTTTTTCGAAATTATGAGACTTTGACTCCATTAAATGGTAAATATGGGTCATTAGCACCATTTATATGTAATAATCCCTAATATAAAACATGGTTATTTGCAAAAAAACATCGTTGAGAAGCCAAAACAAATTGATTCACGTGATCGTAAATAGAAGTTCCAGGGGAAAAAAAAAATGGTAATAGAGCATTGAGTTGAATGTCAACAAGAGGAAGAGTAAAGGGACAAATATGTAAAGAAGTTTTTATCCAGACCATAATGAATAAAAAATAATTATTCAAAATTGAAAAATAAAATGGACACTTGAAGCACACATCTCAGTAATGATTTAAAGGCCCAATGTGTTTCATTACGATCATCTTGGAGGTAAGCCTCAACCAGTTTTTTAAAATATTGAACATACCTCAACAGGGTTGTAATCCTTTATGACAGCCTCATAGAAGTTGTCGTCTTCAGGCCATCTTGTCATCACTGTCCTTCCAATTACAGCTTCAGCAGGTTCATTTGTTACAGGTCCAGAAGAACTTTGATTGGTTAACTGACCCCTTCCAGTAGAAACCATGGAAGGGTACTGCATGGACTTCATAAAAAATAACCCAGGCAAAGTCAGATCCTATTAAGGAAAAAGCTCTGAAGTTCAACCTAAAAATTCTTTTTTCCCCCTCCTTTTTGCACTCATATCACATATAATCAACTTACTGGTCTAAAATTCTTGCCTCCAACTCCAAATGCTGGTCCATGTTTTACTGCTGCAGGTGATGGCTGCATGGATGCAGGAATCGATTGAGGGTGTAAACCTTGCGATGCTACACCAAATGACATAGAGCGGGAAGTTTTCTGCTTCTTGCGTGATGCTGAAACAGTTGGACTGGGAATCAGATCATGAATTGGCTGAGGAATGCCGAGCGTGGCGTTATGGTTACCACCTGCTTGTCTCCATTCTCTGATTGCATTACCCAACATGATTACCATCAAATGGCAGAAGTGATGAATTAATGCAGATCTAGTAAACTATTTCCAGGAAATTAAACAATTTCAAAACCTTATCCTACAGATAACATCATCAGCATTAACCCTAGTCAATAGCTCTCTGTGTTCGTCATCTGACACTCTTAGCTCTTTCCTTAGTTCAGTTATTAAACCTTCCTTCTCCTGATGAATGCGCATATCATGAAACATTCAAAACATGATCAGCAGGGATATAAAAAGAATATACGGAAACAGGTGAAAGGAGAAAATTATATACCCATGTAATGGCATCTGACTGCGCTTTAAAAGCTCGCAAGACTGAACTGTATCCTTCTTGCTCAAGCTTATGAATTTGGGTCTCTATGTCACTATACATCCTAGGATATGGCATGGAACCTACAACAGATCTTCCATTTTCTGCAGCACAGCTCCCACTCGGAATTCTATTACTACGTGATGGCAGAAGATCATCATCAGTACCTGTATTCATTTCAAAAGAAAACATGAAAATTTCTACAGAAAAGAGATAACAGTGAAAACAATATTTGCAGTAACAGTAAAAAAAACCCTTTTGGCAGTTTAGTCATCTTAACTGAAGAATTATTCCAAATATTTAGGTTTTGAAAATACAAGACTTCTTCTAATATCCAGCTGTAGGGCTAAAACTCTTGTTCAATATAGGTTTAACCTGATTAATGCAACAAACTGCGAAATGCTGTCTCATGAAGAAGAAAAACTTCCAGATATTGGTCAATAGGCTATATATTTGTGCACAAACATCATAAATAGATGTCAAAGCTATCTTTAACAGCATAACTCATTTGGGAAAGGGAGACTATATTTGAAGTTTCAAGTGTCTCTGATATGCGAAAAGAAGCATCTTGCTAATTGTCGGTTCTACTCCCACCATTGGGTGATCAGGATGGACAATTATTCACTCCATCCATCACAAAATTACTGCCCTCTTTGAAAAATCTCATCCTCCTAGGGGATGCAATTAATGTACCCACACTTGACTTGTTTTCGAGTTGATTACTAAATATACCCACTGTGGTTTGGCCTTGTAAATGCATTCACATTTTACATAATAACTTATTCCATTACAAGGTGCCTGAGTTTGCACCCATAGGCATGCAGAACTCAAGGGTGGCAACGGGGCAAAGTTGGGGCAGGGTTGGCTGAACCTTACTCCGCCTCGTTAGAAAATTTGTCATATACCAACTCCGGCCCTACTCTGGAACGGGTTTGTAATTGGTATACCATTCCCGCCCTTATTCCGACAGACAAAGCACCAACTCAGCCCCGCGTACTTCATTAATTGCGGGGCGGGGGTGGGTTATGACACTTTTATTATTTAGTAAAAAAAAAAAAAAGCAGTGTGGTTCATTTCTACTATTTTTATTTGTTATCCTATTAAAAAATATAATGAAGTGTACTGCTTCATGGTAGAGATGCGGCCGGAGTCTTTTGCTCCGACCAGTCACCGGAGTCATTAACTCCGGAGAAATCCTCTGCTACTTCTCTTTCTTACGTTCTCTTTCTCTGTTGGCTTTGTTGGTCTGTTGTTTTGAGGATCTGTTCATGAAAGCGCTTGACGGTCAGAAGTTGTCTTATTTGGAGGTTGCTCGTCTTCCTCGCCTGGATCTGAAAGGGGAGGTGGAACGGATTCCTTCTCCTAGGGATCATGTGTTTACGGTGGACAATCTCAGCACCTCCTCTCGAGAACGTGTTCTTAGGGCCTGCCTTGTTGGGAGATTTGACAGAGAGGTGGGGTCTTTGTAGAATATTGAAGATTGGGCCACGAAGACCTGGTTGATCTCGGGCGGGGTTAGGGTTAACTCTCTGTCGGACGGGCTTTTGTTGTTCCAATTCCCGTCGGCGTTGGAGGCTTATAAGGTTCTGGACTGGGGCAAGAAATCCTGGGGTGAGGCTCAACTTTTCATCGATCTCTGGTACTACAGGGTCGGGTGCTCCAGGTTGAGGTTGAGGAATAACAACCGGCGAGTCATTTTGTATGGCCTGTCGTTGCATCTTTGGTGCTAGAAGCTTTTCGTCGCCATTGGTGATGCGTGTGGAGGTTTTCGGGATGTGGAGGCTTTCGAGATGAGCGACACAGAAAGGATTGTGATCATTGTGGCTAACAGTGGTGTGATTCCAACGAGTATCGTTGTGGAGGATGGACGGTGGGCGTTCAGAATCTCGTTATCTGAAGAAATTGCTCCGACCAAGGTCCCACTGACTGGGACAAGTACCGAAAAAGGTGATATAGGACCACTGGCGGCGTCAGCTATCTCCCGTCTGTCACGCACGTCTAGTGGTGGGATTGGACCTAAGCCAGAGTTCCAAAAGGTGGCGGTGCAGAACAGCCGGTTTCAAGGTCAGGGACGTGTGAGCCCTCACGCGCCTAAGGCGAGTGGTAGTGGGAAGGATGCTTTTGTGACACGTGGTTGGAGGAGAAATGACGCCCGTTGTGAGTGGAAGACAACTGCTCCATCACATGCTGAGTCACGTGTTCCTTGGGGTATTTTGAATTCTGCTTCTGTTGGGCCAGACGTAGTTGGACTTGGGCCTATCCAGGGGGCTCATACAGTGGGCTCAAAAGTGACTGGGAAGGCTACGCGTGAGTGGGGTGGGTCTGGGCCATCTTCTGGGCCGGGGCGACCCTCAAAGCCCGTTAAGCGGGATGAACGACTTAAGCTTTCTGGTCCACTTGTTTCTTCTGGACCAACTCAGATTAAGCCAAGATTGGCTAAGGATAGGGTGGTTTAATGAGCCCAAACAATTGTCTTCCAATCTCATTTCAAGGTGGGCAGCCCAAACCAATTTCAGAAGCGGCTCACAGCCTTGATATTCAAGAACCTCCTCTGGACACGTCACAGAGAAGATCGGCCTCACGTTCTTGGTCGAGGAAAGAGAAGGTGAACTGGGTGAAGGTGAGCTTGAGCATGACGAAGGGGGCTGGGGCTTGTCCAAAGACTTTTCGGCATGGAACGTGTTGTCAGAACCGGCTCTCGGGTAATAAGTTTGATCTTCTTCAGTCTTGGTTTTTGGGTGATAATGAGAATGGCGACTGTGATTCCATGAAAGAGGATGGCCTCTCTTGGAGTTTCTCGAAGTAACCCAGTAAGAAATGGACCAGAAATGACAAACAAAAGTGGGTCGCCCGTAAGGTTCCCCATTCGTGTCTAGGTATATCCTTTTCCCCTCAAGTTCGGAACTCTCCGTCACCTTCTATCTTTACTTCTACTCCTTCTTGTGAGTTGTTGAGAAGGGGGGGGGGGGGGGGGGGGGGGGGAGGTCCTTGATGGGAGGCAACAAATGTTGTCGCTTGTTGGCTCTAATTTTGGGGTTGTTGGGCCGTCAGAAAGGGATGGGACGGTTTGTTTGTCTGGTGACAGGGATTACGACCGGTTATGCGTCGGGATTGCTGAGACTTGTTCGGAGTTTTCTTCCTCTTCTCGGTTCAATGATTCTTCAGGGGAGGAGATGGGTAGGCCGGCCAAGCCTCTTTTGGGTGGAACGAAAGGGCTGTGTTCATCTTTGAAAGGTGGCCCACTGACTTGTTTGAAAGGTCCTGTGCCTGATTTGGTGACTGTTTGTGTGGGCAAAGATATCCGTATTTCCCTCAGCGATGAATCAGCCTCTCTTTTGGTGAAGGAGCTGCAGAAGCACAGATTTTCGCCTGATGATCAAACTGTTGACAACAACCCGGACCCTTTCATCCAGGAAGGTGTGTAGGATTATGGTGAGGACTGGATGTCACATGTTGAGGAGTTAGTGGAGGCCAAGGGAGGTGAGGAAGATGGAGCAGGATGGAACAGGGCAGTTCTCTTGATCTAATTTTGTGAGAGGAGGAGGGTCATGCTAATTTGGGGGTGGTGGACCCCTTGGCTGTTGTTCATCCAGAGGATTTGGGCAGCAAAGTGTGTAGGCAGGAAGGTGAGGATATTGGAAAGGAATGGGTCATAGCTAATATTGGGGCCACTAGTGATCTGTTGGGTGTCTTTTGCAAGGGCAATCGTAATCAGGCCTTAGCAATTCTTCAGGCCACGGCAGAGGGTAGAGAGGGGGAGATGATTCAATTTTCCAGAAGGAGGAGCAGGAAGAAGAAGAACCTTATTCCGCGGAGAAGGGAAAGGGAGCTAAGGAACCTGTGTACTGATGAAAACTATGATAGGTTGATTGAGGAGGAGAAGGAGAGGGGTATTGTTAAGGAGGGAGGGAGGGGTAAGGGGGTGATGGGGGTGATTGTTTCTTCATGAAGCTACGACTTTTATCTTGGAATGTCCGTGGTCTCAATGATCCGGGTAAGTGAAAGGTGGTGAAGATGGCGATGAGAAAATAGGGGGTGCATTTGGTGTGTCTCCAAGAAACAAAGATTGATTCTATAACTGATCGTGTGGTGAAGAGTTTGTGGGGTAATCGGTTTGTTGAGTGGGAGGCGCTGGATTCTGTTGGGACATCTGGCGGTGTTCTCCTTATGTGGGATAGGAGATGAATGGCTAAGGTGGATGTTTGTAGAGGGATATTTTATCTGTCTTGTGCCTTTGTGATGGAGGAGGATGGTTTCACTTGGGGCTTTTCTGGGGTGTATAGGCCGGTTGATGATGGTGTGAGGAATGGGTTGTGGGAGGAGTTGAGTGGGGTGAAGGGGAGATGGTCTCTTCCTTGGTGCATGGCAGGAGATTTTAATATGGTTAGGTCCTCAGCGGAGAGATCTACGGGTGGTCCGTGGACTCAGGCTATGATGCACTTTTCTGATTTTATTAATGGCCATCAGCTTATTGATCTTCCTCTTGAGGGAGCTTCTTTCACTTGGTCCGGTGGAAGGGAAACACCAACCCTTTTTTTGCCTTGATAGATTTTTGATTTCAAGTGACTAGGAGGAAAAGTTCTCGGATGTTGTTCAAGCTGTGTTGGTTAGGGTGACATCGGACCACATCCCCTTGGTTTTGGATAGTGGAGGTTTTAGATCTCGTAGCACTCTTTTTAGATTTGAGAACATGTAGCTTCGAGCGGATAATTTCCAGGGATCTGTGCACTCTTGGTGGGAGGAGAACCTGGTGGTGGGTACGTCGAGTTTAATTCTTGCAGGAAAGCTTCGACTTCTAAAAAATAATCTCAAAAGGTGGAATAAGGAGGTGTTTGGGAGTTTGAAGTGGAAGAAGAATAGGACATTGGCTGATATTGCTGAGATTGATGGATTGGAAGGGTAGGGTGTTCTTTCTGAATCTCATCACATTAGGAGAGCAGCTTGTCAGGCAAAATACATGGAGATTGCTGTTTTGGAGGAAATTCCTTGGCGCCAGAAATCTCGGGCCTTGTGGCTCAAAGAGGGAGACCGAAATACCAAAATTTTCCATAGAACTGTTAATGCTCATAGGAGGAGCAATCATATTGGGCGGATGTATGTGGACGGTACGGTCTTGACTACAGAGGAGGAGGTGCAAAGCGGTATTGTCTCTTACTACAAAAGGCTT